GAGATAAAATGAAAGATAACTGGGTAGTATGAGACGATTTTATATTGTTATGGTATGGTGAATACACGTTTATCTAATTTTAAAAAAAAATTAATTCTCACCAAGTTAATTATAGATAATAACAAATTCCAAATCTCATTAAATTCAAAATAGAAACGGTGTTTAGTATAAATATATATTTCAAATTATCGATTATCGTTTTTCATAGGATTAATTATCGCTGCAAATTATGAATATTGAAGTCTCCTAGCAATGGTAATGTTTCACAAAGTGAGGAATTTGAAACATTTCTCCACACAAAGTTAATATGCAAACTTAAGTCAGTTGAGAATAGAAACTTATTAAACGTGCAAAGAAATCTCATGATAAAATCAGAGTTTATGTGAAAAGTATTGTTCAGACGGATAGATGATGAACAATTCCCATTTAAAATTTTTGGTATAATTATAAACTATTAAGGTGTAACTTTGTTTCTCTCAAATGAATAAACTGATTGATCATAAAATAATTTAGTCATCATGTCTATCAACAAGATGTTGAAAAGTTCTAAGCCTGATACGCTCATGAAAACGTAAACGCTTTATACACTTGTAGTTAAAATCTATCATTTTAGCCATCTATTTGAAAAAAATGCAAAAGAATAAAGTGAGATTTTTAAATATGAGATTAGTGAACGTTATGAATGAGTACAATGTGTGAGAACGTCTACCATACTGAACTGTGAAAAAAGAATCTTCAGACAAAGCATATGAATATGTTGTAAGTTCAACGTTCAACCAGTATTTGAGAATCTTAAATGATATTAAATCCTTTTACTATTGTGATTTTTCGTTGGTAGATTGGTGTATATCAGTTAAAAGACTGACTAACTCATTAAAGATGCTGAATAGACGTGAAAGGTTTATAATTCATGAATAACAAGTTTTAGAGAAATTCTTAACCAAATAGTCACGTAAATTCAGGTTCAAAAGTGAATTATCGAAGAGTAAGTAGCTACAAATAGACTTAGTTTACATCAATTGCTTGGAATGATCAGCCATTATTGATGAATTATATTACTTAATCGAAATACAAAAAATGGATGATGCAATCAAGACCGCTAAAGTTCTCTAAAGACAAATCTTTTAAAATTAGAACGTGTGAAAACAAAAGAAAAAATTTCGTGTTAATTAAATAAATTAAGAAATTATTAGATGGAAAACATAGTAGTTGATTTAGTTATCAAATCAGACAATTTTAAAAATTTATCTCGAACACTGTCATATTACAATAACTGTAATATTTCTAATCTTACAAATATTTGACCAAAACCCTGAATGTTAATCTAGTCCCAGCACTTTTAAACTAGCTCATTTTATATTCAATCCATAATGTGTAATCCAAGTAAAACTCTAACAATGATGACACGAACAAAGAATATCGGAAACCGACCGTAATTATATTTCATTTTAATTTGTTAAGTTATAAAAAAAAAACACCTAAATATATTATCTTCGGTACAGATTTCGTTCCCACTGACTGAATGCTTACGAAATAACAGAGAAACATATAGCTTCTAAAGTTAGATATCAGGGCTGGATTGTAAACAAGTCACAAATTATAAAGAAACATTACCTCAAGAGCTTCTTGATATTATCGTATATGTGGTGAAAATAATTTTGATAAGTAAATTATTCAGAGTATACCTTTGGTAGTAATTACATTTATCAAGAGAAATAACTGACGACTGTGATGAGTAACTGGTTCAGCTAACGTATAATTTACATATTTCAAAGATAAATATATATATATGATTAGAATGGGGGTTTATGGAGAATGTAGCATTTTTAATCGTTGAATTTATGAGCCAATGTAACCTAGGCTACCATTGAAAACCTGGAAGCACCGGGCGGCCGTTTCGACCTAGCATGGGACTCCTAAGCAGTGAACATCCACTATCCCACATGCTCACTGCTGAGCATATATATATAGTTGCTACCACATTTGCTTCATACTATCACTGTATAACAGAGTTAACCTTTCATAGACAAATGGTTTGGTGTTTACTAACGCCTGTATGATTGCAGATATGATAGTTTTTCTGGATCGTTGATAAAATAGATAATAAATGAAGTATGGTTTATGGAACAAATATTCTGCACATTAAAAACTACAAATACACAGGTTTGGTTTCTTTTTCAGTGTTTCCAGATATAATTTGGTAGGTTTCTTAACATAATGATTCTGTAGGTTATTATGATACCAAAGTTATTTCCCAACACTTATGCGTTGTGGTCCATTTCATCAAACAACAATACATTAAGTATTTTGTCCTGTTAACTGTTCATCACCAAGACGTTTAAAATCATAAGTGACTATCGATTAGTCGTCGACTGAAAATTCATAGATAGGGTTTACTTATGTTAAACATTTAATTTATTCAAAATTACTACACGGTTGGAGCAAAATATACGTTTAGAAATTTGCAAAAGAGTAGTGAAGGACTTTATTACAGCTATAATTTTGCTAATGACTGATAAGTCTTGCAAATTGAACGCTATATTCGTTTCTTAAGCTATTCTGTAACTCCCAAGCTAGAACTATACAGCGACCTGAACAACGAGAGAGAAGACGTGGAGTATGCGAGAAGTAGTTTACTCCAAGGTTCATTTTAACACAGAAAATATGGGGTTTTTGTATTTTTAAATGTCCTTGAGTGGCTCGGAGATTCTGGAATGCTACTAAACATAGTAGCAGTATGGCAATCAGCCAATCAGAACCTCTACATGTGACGTTTTACTTCCTTAGTATGTTTGGCTAAAACTTCAAGTGAACGCTGATTGGATGAAACGTTGTTAGTGTTTCCTGATCCTTGCTTGTCTTTTGCAAATTTTATGGATCACTCCAACAATGACCATGTACAAATTAGTGAGCTGTTACAACTTTGTGAGGCTGACACATCAAGTTTTGTTATCGCTGATAAATTCCAATGATAAAAATTCTATAGACATGACAGTATAGAAAATCAATCGAAAAAAATCACAATCGTGAGTAATGAGTAAAGAAAGAAGTACTCTGATTTATTTGCGAAATTTAAGTCAGCTCAGAATGGGACAATAATTTTTTGGATGTAATGATAAAACTGACATCATAAACGGGAAACTAATAAAACCGGAACGTAATTGACTGCAATTTGATTGTTTTGTTACATGAAGCCAATTTGAAGCATGGCTTATTTTACTTTGTAGATAATAACTCAGATGTAGGTGGATTACTGCAGTGAACCATATTAGCAAATAATATGTTACACGCAAGATGAACATTGGATTTTAGCCACTTTGACATTTGAAAACATCTAACTATTGTCATGAAAAAGTTTTATACTAGAATGTCACATAATTGAAGGAATTCCTAGTTTTCAGTTATGGCTTTTTAAGAAGAAACGCGACAAAAATTTCGTATTCATAGTCATTAGAATATTAACAGTCTTTCATTCGAGTGTTGAATTGTTGGTGAACAAATAATCATTAGATAGATGATGAAGAAGTTCAAAGAGATTTCCTGATAGAAAATTTTTTTGATTCGGAACTAAAATCTAGACTTTTCGTTGAAAACTATACAAGTTCATGGGTAGATGATTAAATAACCGATGTTATTGGTTAGGATAGATTTTACTTTGGTGAAAAAGGATACATTTGAGTTTTAGTACATTAGAGATTTCTTCGATTTCTTTCAATAAGTTATTCCTATGAATTGAAATATATAACATTTAATTTGTGCAATCAAAATACTATTATATCTAGTCGCTTACTAGACTTCTTTTACAAAACCGTTTACTCATTTATAGATGGTGTGTATCACATATACATCAAATGTAGGTAATTGATATGGATTTGGAGTACTAATTAAGTATTATAACAATTAAAACTGAATATCATGTTGTTAAAGCAAATAAATTAAGACTATATTCGTCACAACATTGACTAACAATTATTTATTTCAATAATATTAAATTGTATAAACATAGATGTGATAAAATAATAATAGAGAAATAAGAAATTTTTCGGTTGAATGGATATATATATATTAGCTAAGTGAAAATGTAAACAATGATGAGAGGAAAATGAGAACTGAAAAACAAAAAAAGTAATAAGTTTACTCATTGACAGTCCTTTTTCAATAGTGATGGTAATGTCAGAAGTAGTGCTACTATTAGTAATAATAATAAGTTTATAATTTGCCATATTTATACTGATAATTATTTGAAAATCACTATACACGATAAATACAAGCTTATGTATATATATGGTTAGAAAAAAAGAGGGCGAAGAGAACAGTTGTGCCAGTTAACATAATCTGTGGTAATCACTTTTTACAAGAGCATTTAGCAAAAGCCATACAAAATGTTGAAGTATTATGAAATGTAAAAAGAAACAATAAAATACACAATTTTTTAGACAGATTATTGTTTTATTGAAAATAAGAGAAAAGATTGCGCAATAACAACGATAATAATAACAACACGATAACAATAAAAGAAACACAATAAGATACACCGTTCAATGAATATTCAAACAACCGAGAAAGAATGAAGCAAACCGCTTATCTTTTTGTTCAACATGGAAGAGTTCAAAAACTAATTAGTACAATTCCTCATAGAATTTTGTTGATTCTCAGAAAGAAATGTGAATAAAGAAATCAGTAAAAATAGCACCGGAACATTTTGGACAGTATTGAAAAAAGCCATATTGTAATTTGGATAATTTAATTAAAATGTACATGACTACACAGGTAAAGAATATAAACGCATCAAAACAATTGAAACTAAATCCAGAGAGATACAAGCATAAAAAAGAAGTAACTAAACAATCAAAGGAACGATAAACATAGTCAATAGTAATATTTTATTGAAATGCTTGGCATTCACACGCGTGGATAGTTGTCATGGTATAAACTTTGAAGATATACGTATGTACTTGAACAACAATTTGTTATATACTCAATAGACATTAGTAAAGGGTGCTCAGTTTCTTTTTACATACGATGTTAACAAATGCGAAGAAATCTCTCAGACTCTTTTTTATTTAAATTCAGAATAAATAATACAAATTCTGAAAATTTATTTCGTTCAAGAAATCAGCTCAAAATCGCTCATTTTTTCCATCTACATAAAACTGTGATCATTTTCTATGCGTTCTTGTTTACCTTACCACTAGGTCAATTCTCACAGTTTTGATCTAGGTATCCTCCAATTTTTTGACAAATATATTCAAATGCCGGTCTCTTACTAGGATCCTTTAAATACAAGAGTAAAACAATAAAAAATGACCACATAATGATATATATAAGAAAATAATTTGGTACCTTTAAAACTGTTCAGCTTATAATAAAAGTTCATCTAATGAAAATGTATTTACAAATAAGATATCTTGGTTTTTGAGATCATGAATTGACCTAAGTTGAACAATCAATGATAACCAGGAGCATTACAAAACAATTTAACAAAAACGTATACTAAAGAAAATAAAGAACATGCTTTTATACTTAATTTGCATGTCCATACTTAGTAAAATGTCATAAGCTTTGCATTGTTGTCAGTTCATTAGCAATACTTTGATAGCTAAATGTCGGTATATGTATTACTTCATGATGTTAATCTGAAGGAAGAATAGGAAATTAGTTTTGTTGTTATAGTAGGTAAAATACTACAGGACTAACGGAAAAATATTTCTTCTCTGACCATAAACTCAGTAAATATATGGCAGAATGTTGAAGTGAATAATTTGGAAAGTATTTGATTGTGACAATGTAGCCCATATATCTTTCATGAATAATTTTTAAACTATTCAATAGTAGAGTCGATAGTATAAAAGAATATTGAAACTACAACTTTCATCCTAGTTTGTTGATAAAAATTAACTCTGATTCCAAAAAAGAAAACTATTCTAATTACTTAAATGAAATAAGGGAAGTACGTCGAGACTTACATGTTGCCAACACTCAAGCATCAAAACATAAATTCGCTCAGGACATACAGCAGGTTTATGCAGTCGCCCACCACCGACAATATACTGATAAACCTGTGTATTATTCATGCCTTGATAAGGGTTTTCCGAACAGCAGGTAAACACTTCCCACATAAGCACACCTAGTTAAGATTAAAAAACAAATAGGATAAAAAAGAATATTGATAATAAAAAAATATTGAGGCAATTTTGCAGATAGAAAAGACATAAATATTAGGAAATTAACAAGTATACTATGGAATCCACATGAACTTCAATAGAGATTAAAAAAAAAACACATTTCTGATGAGAAAGGCATTCAGTTAAAAGAATTAATTTCGCTATGCAACTAGTTATTTGGATTGCAAACGAGAAACATGTGGTGATACGTTAATGAATTCAGAAATCTATTTATTACACCCCTATATAAATACTAGATTATAATGAAAGAGATTTGTTGAATACTGACAAAAGTTATAAATGGAATATCATTAACGTGAAAACGATAAAAGTCAATTTACAGTTTTATCGAAAACTATTTGGAAGACAATTTACACATCTGCTTCAAGTAAATACGCGGTACAAATTTGTGCAACCTTGAACAATGAAATAATCACAATCAATATGTTACTTACCATACGTCTTAAAAAATTATATTAATCGACCAATTGCTTAAGGGTGGGGTATGATAACTATTCAAAATAATCTAAGAGTTGTTAACATAAGCTCAAGTTTATATTAACTAGCGCCTGACATTAAAACAACGGTGGTTTTTTTCATTAGCCCTAGCATGACCATGACATTTAGCCTCAGAGTCTCAGGTTCAAGCTTCGCTTCACCTACTTCGGCTTAAGCAACTGGGTGATTATGACACACTAAGATTATAACTCATATTCAAGTACTAGGTGAATAAATTTATTTAAATTTACCTTTCATTCCGAAAGAACTAGTAACAAGGAACATTTAAAACAAGTTATGATCTTATTCCAATTTGTACGTATTTAGTTAATTATACAATAAATGATGAACAAACTATTCTTAGCATTAAATTGGTTAGCCTATGGTTATATAAATCACACAATGTTATGCTAATTACTTAAATAGATGACCTTTACATTTTCCTCCGACATATAATAAAAATTTGAGTTTTTTTCCAAAGCAAACCTAATGTGTTCGCCAGAAAAACCAATCCCATTTATGAATATTAATTTTCCGCCCTGTTTATAAGTCAGCAGTAAGTGTTAAACAGCTGCAGATATCATTAACTGAACATAAATTAACACAATAATATCAAGCTAGCATACTCTTCCTACATATCAACATTTGTGCTTATATATATAATTCAGTTCGGTTCAGGTTAAACAAAAAGCACACATGTGAAGATAAGGGTAGAATAACAGAAGGAAAAGAAGCAAAAGTGATTCTAATTCCGTTCAAAATAATAATGGTAACAGTAATAAAGCAAGCATAGGGAATATCTTTCACCAATTATATATATATATATATATATATATATATATATATATATATATATATATATATTACAATTTGTCTGTTCATGTATATATGTTTGTGTACATGATGATTGGTGAATTAAATAGGGTTTTATTAAAGAAAAATATTAACACACCGAATAAAATCGAGGAAGTAATATTGACTTTGTCATAGAAATTTCAGATAAAAAAGCAGGTGATGAAAATATGACTGATCAATAAATAATGTTAGATGCATTAACTAGTATGTACAGTTATTCAGTGTCATGAGTTGGAAAATTTTTAAGGGAAGACAAAATTCGAAGTTCGGAAATATTGAAGAATTTCTGGAAAATGTTTTTTATAAAATTCAATGTACAATTCATCATTTTGATACAGGCAACTAGCAAAATAAAAGTAATCAGTTCTTGAATGTAAACATATATAGGAAAAAACCAAATGCTACCTCAGGGTTAGGCGTTTTATACATGTAATTTTTCTAGTAAATATATTTCATATTCTGGCACCGATTTCATGTACCAGTCACGTAACTATTGCTATACACATTCATGAAACTGAGAAATAAAAAACATGAAATATTGAAATCTAGTATTTAAGACTAGAAAATGAACAAATCTAACAGTGCTAATATAACCAACTTTTAATCACGTCATCTAAAGTCTGTAAATGCTAATTAGAGTTAACAAGTAAACTTCAATCAGTCAATCGAATAAGAGGTATGATGAGGTGTATACCTGAAAAAAGTACTACTGATAAAATGGATTAATGGTGTTTCTTTGAAACATATTTTTACTAAAACTGAGAAATAACAGTGAAGGATGCAAGTGAAATCCACAAATTATTGAATAACAATAAACAAGATAATGTACGATAACAAATCACAACATTGTTAAGTCATTTCAATAAATAACGATATGGATAGGAAATCATTTGAAAAGGACAATAATAATACTAATAATAATGTTTATATGATGATGATAAAAAAATATGAAGAGCACTTTGTTTTAATAAAACAATTTTATCTAATTTTTATGAAAAGTTAATCAAAGCACGCTAGTTTAAAAATGTCCTACAGAAAATATGATGTAGAATCATGAAGTTCATAAGGAAGAAAATTGCTCAGATTCCTAAATACCATCAACATTTGATAAAAATCTTTTGAGGTAGTCATGAATAAAATACATGCATAACCTCATATGACTGAGATGATTGGACGTTAACCAAAAAAATACTAAAATGAATGAAGGTATAATTCAAGTCTTGTCTGAAAAGTTATTAGAGATTAAGACAGTTGAGTATACTACTAAAGACCTAAATTTATAACCCAAACATAAAATGTAAAGTTGTTAATCAGATTACAAATGACTGGTTAAATATTGGAAGATTCGCAAGGTAATCAATAACGCTTTGTTCTGTCACATGAGTACCTGATAGTTGATGGGATATTAAGCCTTCTGGTCGATAATACTTTATACGTATGATATTTTCCAAATGTTATAATTTTGAGTCTACAAAAACAAACAAATATTAAATACGATAAACAAGAAGTCTTACATAATTTCGAATTTTCTTATCAAATTATATCCAGCTTAGCCTTACGAACTTCGATTAGGCAGATTAAGCAGAGAGAAAAGAGAAGCAATATCAGAGTAAAAGAAAACATGGATATATAAAACAAACGGAAAATCAATAATCAATTAAAAAGATGATAGTTTTTTGATAAAAGTTGACTTTACAGAAATCTTGAATAAAAACCTTATTTTACAATTTAAAAGAACCGACTGCTTAAAGTAGACCAAATGAAACCGACTCTGTATACTGTTGTTAAACTAAATATTGGGGTATAGATGATGTTCACCTATTCGTAATAATAATGATAAAAGTTTAAGTGGTTTCTTTCCATGAAAAAAATTTTGGATTTATTGAAATTCTGTTTACATTTTTGTTAAGTGAACGTGAGAACAAAAAAACTAAATAAACTATTGAATAGAAAAATAAAAGGTTTTATATTATCAAGTGAATAAATATGCAATGATACTACTGACTTACCGAAACTCCATACATCTGCTTTAGCTGTATAAGTAGACTGAAATACTTCAGGAGGTGCCCAACGAACAGGGAATTTCGTTCCAGCACTTGGTTCATATACATTATCTAGTAGAAAACGTGCCATACCGAAATCAGCTACCTTGACGTGAACTGAATTTTGACTAATTGATTTTACTAAACAATTTCGTGCTGCTAAATCCCGATGTACAAACTGTTCTTGTTCCAAGTAAGCCATTCCATTTGCTACTTGAGCACAAATATCAGACATAACAACTGGTCGATTACAAAACTGTGGCTGACGTTGTCGCATAAAATCACGTAATGAACCTAGATTTAAGAAAAGTGATTTATATTCTTATTGATAAAGTAAATAGATGGACACAATATTTTTCATGATTAAGAACAATAGAAATTACTGAGAACTTAATATAAAGATTTAACTGGTTTATTGTAGAAGTAGATAATGAACAGAGATGACTGATTTGGTATAGAAGCACGATGTTGCGCTATACAATTTAGAAGACATTAGTCTCTTTAAATGAAGATCCCATTAAACGTACAGTTTTATTTACTAAAATAATTAATGATTATAGTATTAACACATTTAATTCAACTTCTGTTTATTTGTCTACCTATAACAGCTGGTATACACATATTGATAGTATTGGTTTTTCCTATACAGATTTATTCAACTTAACAGCTGAAAAGATGAGCGTAAACAACTGTACTGTATTTGCAGATTATAAGATGAACTGTGGAATGCGAAATAAGTATAGTTAATTGTGGTGTTTGAATGAACTGATGATTCCTTTGTACTTGTTGAATGCTTGATTTCGAATATCAAATACAGTACATTCTTTCGTGCTTATCTAGTATTTCTTGATTCGATTGCGTTATTTCTGGGATTCAGTTTCTACTATAATTCAAATACTTCTAATTATCATATTGGGGTCGTGATGGAGCCTGCGATGGAACAGTTAGATATTCATTCAAATTCTGAAGATTTTGAGGATTATTTAGAAAGTTTTGAAATCTGGAGCATGATCAAGAAAGATGTTAAAGGTGATAAAATTGTGGCAAATCTCCTGACATTCATCCGGAAGAAGCGTACCGTATGCATTATGAATTCAGAACCTCTGAACTTTTATCAAACCTTAACAAGTTTCTAAATCATGTGAAAGAAGAATATCCACTGTAATTCATTACTTTCTTATAATATATTTTTACTTTATACTGTCTTCTGATTGGCTAATAATTGAAATTGCTCAGACGCTTCTCATTGGCTTGTACCAAAATTAGAGTCTCGCCGTGAATTGCTAATCAGAGATCATGATTCTTCATACATACCTTGTGAATTTTTAGTTAGCGAAACAGGACTGTCAATACTGGGTTTAGAGAATTTGAAAAGGTTTAAAGTGGAATCGGACGGCAAGACCCCTAGAATTTGTGGTGACTATAGATTAACATTGAACTCCCGTTTGTTGAAGCAAACGTGCACGACGGTAGAGGATGAAGATATTCCAAATCGACTTCACGGTTCTAAAGTGTTCTCGAAGGTTGACCGAAAAGACCCTTATCTTCAAATTCCTTTAGATCAATCTTCATCTATTTTGACGACAATTAACACTCCTTTTGGTCTGTTCAAATACAATTTCCTTCCATTTGGTCTCAGTTGTCCTTTAACCGTATTTCAGGAAGTTATGAATAAAGTTGTTAGGTATCTTCAAGGTGTTGAATTGTATCAAGATGATCTCATTGTTCATGGTTCTGATAAGGTAGATCATGACGAGAGACTTATTGCTTTATTGTGTCGTTTATTTGAGAGGAATATTACAGTGAATCCAAACAAGTGTCTATTTTGTGTATCTAGTTTCGAATGTCTTGGATACCTTGTTGATGGTAATGGTTTGAGATCAGATATGAAACGACTAGCTCCACTGACTAATGCATTGTCTCCAAAAAATCTTAAGGAACTACGTTCACTAGTGAGTGCTCTTCAATACTATTCCCGTTTTATTCCTAATTTTTCTTGTCGTGCAAATTGTTTATTTAATATTTTGACATTCAATTCATTCAAATGAAGTGAAGAACAAGAGTCATTCTTACGAAGTCTACTAAAGTTCCTTCAAAATGAAGTTGGTCTTCGAACTTACTCCCCGAGCGTACATTCTGTACTCATTACTGATGCATCATCTGTGGGTATTGGCGCAGTTTTGGAGCAGGAAGGTAGACCAGTTATCTGTGTTTCACGCAAACGTACTGTTACTGAATAAGATTATTCACAGACTCAGCGAGAAGCATTATCTGTGTTTTGGGCTGTTAAAAGAATTCATAAATATGTATTCGGAAAGAAATCTACTATTGTTATTGATCATTAAGCTTTAAAGTTTATTTGTCATCCTGAAAAATCCTTAGCACATTCCTCAGCTGTTATGGTTCACCGATGGAGTATTTCTTTGAGTGCATATGACTAGACGGTTCAGAAGAGAAGTGCCAAACAAATTCAACACGTTGACTACGTTTCTCGGCAATCATTACAAGATAGACCGGTTAATACTTCAGACTGTTTGTTAGTGCAACCTTTACCAGTGAGATGTCCAGATCTCATTAGAGAAACTCGTAGATACTTTGGATGTATACTCAGTGCTATACGGAAAGGTTGGAATACTAATCTGAAACGTAGATGTCCTGTATGTTTTTCAAAGCGGGATGAGCTATCCACTACTCATGATAGTATTCTGTGTTTAAATGATCGTGTTGTCATTCATCCTTCATTGCGTAAATCTGTCCTTGAAGATCTTCATAGTGATCATTTAGGTGTTGAAAAAATGAATTCCTTGGCAAGGCTCACATATTGGTGGCCAGAGATAAATGCAGATATATGTCGTACACCAAACAATTGTGGAAAATGTCATCAGTTGAAAAATCATCCTTCGAAGTGGACTCCATAGCCAGTATCGTCTAAGGCCTGGCAGAGAATTCATGCTGACTATTGTGGTTCATTTCTTGGCAAATACTATGCACTTGTAGTCATTGATTCTTTTTCAAAGTGGCCTGAAATTTTTTCACAACTTAACCAAATTCTGACTTCACAATTCAAGCATCAAGAAAGGTGTTTGGTCGAGAAGGGGATCCCATGAAGTTAGTGACTGATAATGGCTCTCATTTTACTGCAGATGCAGTTACTACCTGGTTGAATGGTGCAGGGTGCAAACATCTGTTTACTGCTCCCAGATATCCATGTTCTAATGGTCAGGCAGAGAATTTTGTCAGGACATTGAAAACTCATATTGATTCTATTACTGCATCAATATTTAATGTGCCGGAGAGGGGAGAAGATACTTTTCTACTGCAAAATTGCAACGCCAGACATTCTGTGATGAAAGAGACTCCATCAAAGTTATTAAAAGGAAGAATTTTTCGGTCGAATATGAGATGTTTGGAGTCTGCAGAGGTAACACATTATCGTGGAAATTATCTTCGACCATCCACGGGGATTGCGCTGAAGAATGTCGGGAAATTTATGATGCGAATTCTAGATATCATTGACTTAAGTACACATAATCGACATGTTGATCAAATACAATGCCAGGAACCAGGTGAGTCTGTTCCGATTTCGGTTGTTAATTCTAATGCTAATGAGTGCATTCTAGATAATACAGAGTCCTTATCCAATACAACGTCAGACAGACTCAGGATGAATTTGAGAAGAAGGCGTACGATTGATTACAAACACCTTGACTCCAATTTAAGCTGCGGCGGATGTGGTGTTTGGATAAACTGAGGAGTCCTTTGAACATGTTGAATGCTTGGTTTCGAATTTCAAATACAGTACATTTGTTCATGCTTGTCTAGTACTTCTTGATTCAATTGCGTAATTTCTGGGATTCTTAGTTTATAGTATAACTCAAATACTCTTAATTATCATATAATTCCAAAAAATTAGTAATATTCACTGTAAGAGATTAACAGTATTCTATTCATTTCTTTGAACATAGATTTACTTGGGAATTATGAAGATTTACACTGTATTATTAACCGTAATAATCTTTTTGAGCTACAAATTGTTTTCTATATCTTACAATCAACCTAAATCTGTTAAATGCTGTAAAAAAGTGGTTACATTATAAACTATATACGAATAAATTTGGATATTTTCCTCACTGAATTTCGTTTCCTTTTACATCAAAACTGATGTATTTTCTCCAATTGCATCTAGTTGAGAAAAAAATTGTTACAGTTCACAGGAATATAGTACCCCAAAATTATCATGTGCTTACTACTGACTATCTTTGAGAAAATTTACGGAGTTCCAGTGAGAGACCAGTGGAGTTCAACCGTGTCAGAGGTAAATCAGTTACCCACCGAAGACAGTCGTACAATATCGTGCTTCGGTTGGAGTTAGGAAATAACACCGTTGGATCCCGGTTCAGTGGTCCAGATGTTAAGGTTTCGCTTGCAAGACCGAAGCTCCTGACTTCGAATTCCGCGTGTGGGGTCGTTGATGCGCACTAATGGGAGTCCCATACTAGGACGAAAAGTATGTTTAGTGCTTTCAATTTTTCAATAGTGATGATTTTAATGGAATTTGATAAATGTATGAAGTGAAGAATAAAAAAGAGTGTATGTCTTCCAGTTTTTTCCTGTATTAACGTAATACCAGTAATGGAGCATACTGTTTGAAATTAAGATAAGTAAATACGTAAGTACTATTAAACATAAAAATAATACAAAGAAGGTTCTCCAACTACAAAGAAAACTGAGTAGCTGAAGCTTCCTATATATTGTTTAATCCTACTGCACTCAATGAAAAAGGTTTCACCATCCATCAGACATGGATCATCTATCCCAGCTACCGTGTCTGATTCTATTCACATCTCACACCATTATCGTACATACAAATCCAACTCTATCCCTCCGAACCACAAATGTCACATTTTCCCATCATCGAACACACGCACACAAAAATGCCTTGCATAAATCACGACCTGAATGACATAACGTTGATTTGGCAACATAGGTTTTTGGTTGACCGCACCGAATATAACTGCTCCGTTTTTTTATACTATTCAAGCTTGAGTTAATTTAATTTGTTCAGTTGTTCTCTGAAGAAATGGCTTAGACTGAGTCACGAAACGTCAAAAATATAATTTTTCCACCCATTAGGATATTAGAAATATTTTATTTTTATTTTTGTGTAAATTGTTGACTTTTGATTGAGATGAAGAAATGATCAATGTTAGACAAGCACTAAAAACCTGAAAGGGCTGGACAACTTTTTCGTCCTAGTATGGGACTCCCAGTAGTGCACATCAACGACCACACAC